TACCGATCAGGGAATACGAGGCCGAGAGTGATGCGCTTTGTGAAACAGGCATTCTTGGGGACTACCATTAGTCCTCAGCAGTACATGTCATGTGTTACAGAGCGCATAGACTTTCTAAAGCAGAAAATTTATGCATGGGCAAATAGGATAAGACGGTATAAAAAACGAATAGATCGGTATAATAAGAATCGGATGTTCCAGAGAAATGACAAGTGGGTGTACCGGAAATGGGAGGAACCGGATCCATGTGTGGGTGATAGGCATTTGCCAGATGAAAATGTCACAAATACATTTTGGCGTAACATCTGGTCGGTGCCTGTCACTCATATAGAAGGTGATTGGTTGCAGGATGTCAGACGCTCATGTGAGTCAATAACACCTATGGAACCTGTTAAAATTGATAAAGATGATGTAAGTTGTGCAGTTCGTTCATTACCGAATTGGAAATCACCTGGTCCAGACGGACTGCACAACTTTTGGCTTAAGTGGTTCCGAAGCTCACATGCGCGTTTGGCATCTCAATTCCAGGCAGCTTTGGATTCGGGTTCATTACCCCAATTTTTAACCACTGGCATAACCCACTTACTCTATAAGTCTGGTAGTGTCATGGATCCCAAAAATTTTAGACCTATTACATGTTTCCCTACCATGTATAAACTTCTAACATCTATTCTGAGACTCAAAATTACTTTATATATTAATAATAATTCGATTATGTCAGTTTCTCAGAATGGATGTAGAAGTGGGACCCGTGGCACTAAAGACCTCCTTATCAAAGACATGACCATTAGCCAACAGGTACGTCGTAATCGTAAGAGTTTGGCGACGTGTTGGATAGATTATAAGAAGGCCTATGACTCGGTTCCACACACATGGCTTTTGAAGGTGCTGGAGTTGTATAAAATTGATACAACTCTGTGCACTTTCTTGAAGTCATGTATGGGGCAATGGAGAAATATATATAATAGCAATTCGCTATCCAGGATGTCGGCAGACAGCGATACACCATGTACTAATAAAGATCGAGCGGGGTATATTTCAAGGTGATAGTCTGAGTCCCTTGTGGTTTTGTCTGGCTTTGAACCCTCTTAGCACTTTATTAGAGGGTTCAGGGTTAGGCTATAGGTTGCAGAAAGATGATCAAGTTATATCTCACCTTCTTTATATGGATGATTTGAAGCTGTTAGCCTCCAACAAATTACAATTGACAAAGTTACTAAAGGTGACGGAAAACTTTAGTAATTCTATCAAAATGGAATTTGGTGTAGACAAGTGTGCAGTCATGTATGTAAAGAAGGGTGTGATAGTTGAATCTGAAGGAATAGAGCTTTCAGATTCAACAAAACTCAGATCTCTGTCTGTCACTGAAACTTACAAGTATCTGGGTATATCACAGTCGTTGGGAATACCAGAATCTAACATGAAGCAAACATTGCAGGAACGCTTTTTTGGCCGCTTGAAAAAAGTACTTAAAAGTCTTTTATCAGGGGGCAACAAGGTGCGAGCCTGCAATGGTTGGGTCATGCCGGTTCTGATGTATTCCTTTGGTATACTTAGATGGACTCAGACCGAATTAGATGCCCTTGACAGGAAAGTCCGTACACTGCTGACTGCATCCGGAATGCACCACCCACGTTCATCAGTTATGAGATTGTATATCCCGCGAAAGCTTGGGAACGCGGACTATTAAATATCAAGACCCTACATAATCGCGAGATATGCAATCTCAGAGAATATTTTCTACATACCGACGTGGGAGTGCATCGCAATGTAGTTGCAGTGGATACCGGCTTCACCCCGCTCGCTCTGGCTAAAGAGAATTGGCGCAGACCTGTAGTACTTGGTGTTAATGATCGCAGGGAAGTATGGAAGGGCAAAGAGCTCCATGGTCGGTTTTATAGGGCCCTAAACGGGTCCGATATAGATTTAAAAGCATCTACGACTTGGCTACGGTATGGTGATCTCTTCGGAGAAACTGAAGGTTTTGTTTGTGCGATTATGGACGAAGTTATCATGACGAATAACTATCGGAAATATATCCTGAAAGATGGTACGGTTGACATCTGTCGGGCATGCCACCGTCCTGGCGAATCAATCAGGCATATTATTTCTGGTTGTTCTCGTCTTGCTAACGGCGAATATTTGCACAGGCACAACCAAGTAGCCAGGATCGTACACCAACAGCTTGCCCTTAAATACCATCTTGTGAATCTAGAGGTGCCATACTACAGGTATGTGCCCGACCCAGTTCTCGAGAATGGTCGGGCCACGTTGTATTGGGATCGATCTATTATCACAGACAGGACTATTGTTGCCAATAAGCCTGATATTGTGCTGATAGATCGATTAGAGCGCCGCGTAATTATTGTTGATATCGCCGTTCCTCATGACGAGAATCTCGTGAAAGTTGAAAAAGAAAAACAAATTAAATATTTGGATTTATCTCACGAGATTGTCGATATGTGGAATGTTGATTCAGTGATCATTGTTCAGATAGTCGTATCTGCTCACGGATTGATAGCCAAGAGCCTCGATCAACACCTTAAGAGGCTCACATTGGACGGCTGGATCAAGGGTCTGATGCAGAAGGCAGTCCTCCTTGACACGGCTCGTATAGTGAGGAGGTTCCTATCTTTGGAGTCCTAACCACCCTTTGTCTTGGTCCCTGTACCCGATGTCGGTGGTCTACTATTTCTTATATTTTTAAATGTATTTATAATTTTTTATAAAGTGTATGTTTAAAAATGTAAATAATATGTATATAAAGTAAATAAAGAGAATAATAATAATAATAATAAACATTTATTTGCGAATATGGGTACAATAGTAAAGTTGATACAAAGGTAATTTTCGTTCCTTCATATTCCACCTTGTGGCATGCAAATATTTCAATATACTTTTGTTTATATTACAATTTCACTAAAACAGTTCAAACATAATCTAGACATAATACATAAGTCACGTCTGTATAAAAATTACATAAAAAAAGTTAATGTCAAAATTTGTGTCAAAATAATTACAATAATTATTATGTCAATTACAGTCGTCACAAAATAAGAAGCCCGTTTTGACATTTGTCATGGTGGCGTAACTAGTGATTAACCATACGACTCGACGACGACGATAAATCGATACAAGCTTGTAGAGTATTTGATTGATTTGACTATATATCACAAAGTGCATTGGATTAAAGTTATAATTAGAACATATAACTTAAACTTTAATGTTATAGGCAATTTGAAATGATACAATGGAAAGAAATGTCAATTTGTCTTTAATTGAAAAATTTAGCTCAATCACAACAAAATCAAGAAAAGTGAAATCAATCATTTTCTTCTGATGACGAGCCAGATGAGCTATCGTCGCCTGTATATATAATTATTTCATTTTCTATAATATTATCAATATTGACGTCTCTATCATAATCTTCCTTTATTATTTTTCGCGTCTTTTCTACCACTTTTGCCCAATCTTCTTTAGTTATTTTATCACAAGCTTCTTTTAATAATGTCATCATATTCTTAGTGTAGAATGGTGGTTTTGTATTATGACGTGCTGCCTATCCTTTGACCTGAGCCCAGATTAATTCAATAGCATTGTACTGACAATAGTACGGCGGCGTTCTTATCAATTTGTGACCATGTTGAAGTGCCAATTCATCGATTTTATATCTTAATTTTGCAGGTTTATTTTGTTTTACTAATTCCAGCAGTTTAGCTTTCAATAAATTCATGTCAGCTTCTACGCGTTTTCTTTGTAACCACGCCACTAAATCTGCCTTTTTGCTTGCTTGAGTAGGTGCCTTATCTATTTGAACTGAATGGTAAGGTGCATTATCCATAATTATTGTTCACTGATCGGTGAGGTTTATTAACAACTTAGTAAACCACTCTAAGAATTTATTTGCATCAATTTCTTCGTGGTATTCTTTTGTACTTCTGGACTCGAATGCGAGTAGAGCATCATGCACAAAACCCCCCCCCGGCTGATCCGGCATGGCAGATTGTAAGGCGTCCACCCTTACCCATTGGCACTTTTGAACAAGATGCCTTGGTATCATCCGTCCATGACTGTGGCACGGTATGATTCGAGTTCAGCCAAGTTTCATCGATAAATATGACATTATCCCAATTTGTAATTTTGTTCATTTTGCCTCTTCATCATTGCATCATCATCATAATTAAAAAAAAAAAAATAAGTTATAATGTAATACAAATATAAAAATAATAAATATAGATATAAATACATATTCTTTATGTTTGTACACTGTAAATGCTTGAATTTAGGAGGTGTATCATTTGTTAAGTCACTTCCACCATCTCGAGAAGGTAATTATGTACATTCCTTTTAAATGCGAAACGGTTTGTGGACATCCTGATTTCGAGTGGGAGCGCATTCCAGAGCAGAACCACTTGTACAAAGAACGAGGAGTTCACGAAGTCTGAGTTGTGGGGGGGACACAAGAGAAGCAAATTATTCGTTGATCTAAGATTTCTGTCGTGATTAGAAGACAAGAAACGGATGTAAGGATCGAAGTAGGTGGGTGAAAATGGGCAGTTGAGGAATGAAAAGAGAGAGGTCAGCGCTCGCTGATTGCGACGCAAGCGAATAGGTAACCATTTTAATTGGGAGCGTAAAGCAGACACATGGTCATACTTGCGAAGATTGAATATGTATCGAAGGAGGTCTGCATTCAGGTCGAAGTAACACACATCACCATAGTCAATTATAGGAACAATTAGGGACTGCATGAGAGAGGTTTTCGTTTTAGTGGGCAGAATTTTTTTAAGTCGGTATAGTGTTCGAAGGTTACCCGTTACTTTTTGGCTCACATGAGTAACTTGCATATGCATATGCATCTTAAAATTATGTATTAAATATTCAGCGGGCGTTATCGTTATCACACAAATATTAAACTGCCATTAACATGTTTGTATATAATTTATGAAATATTATAGCAGTTGTATGTCACATGTTGCTCAGATCGGTCGTGTGTAATTATGTGGGTGTATTTAGTTGGAATTGCGTTAGTTTTATGTATTCTACATATAATTCTAAACTATAATGAACAAGCTAGACTTCTTAGAAAGATTCCTGGACCTCAGTACGACTTTCTTGTAGGAAATGGCGTTAGGGCTTTCAGTTCAGGAGGTAAGGTCTAATTAGATTTAAGTAGTATTAAAGTTAAACCATTGTCAAACATATTATAAATATAGCTTGGATTCTAATAACAGTTTGGATTTTTTGTATTTACATGTGTGATTGTGTGTATGTCTGAAATGAAATGAATGTGTGAAAATACTGTTTCATTTAAAATGTAAAATTGTATAGTAATTAAAATACTGAAGGCCAATTCTCGTAATAAAAGTTCGGTCAATTCCGTTCCGATCAATTCATTCTTTTTTCTCAATGACAACTCCCGCATTAGGAATAAATCCTGTGTCGCGGGGGACTTTACAAACATACATGAAACGGACACAAAGAACACTCAGACTCAGAACAACAATTTGTGGATCACACAAAGCGTCGTTCCATGTGGGGATCGGACCCACAACACTCGGCGTAGCGGCGCCGTAAGCGGCGTGGCGACCGCTTAAACCACTACGCCATCCGATGACTACGAAAATTTTTTATCGGTAATCTGCTAGTCATAGTATAACTTTAATATTTTACTACGAAAGTACCTTTAATGACAGTTGTGAGATCGAAAGTTGATCGGAACTAAATTGAGACCGAACTTTTATTACGAGAATTGGCCTTCTCAAAACCTATTCGTTACTGCATTTATAACTGGTCAAAAATAGGTTCTCAGTTTGACTGTATTTTTTTATATGTTTGTTACACCTCAAATTTGTGGCGATCAAAAAAACATGATCAAAAGGGTATAACTTCCGAGGTGCTCCCTTAGTCACCAAATCAGGGTCTGATTATGCGATCCTAAATAAATCCAGAGAAACTTTCAAATTTTTAATAATTGTTGGGTTTAATCATCACCTAATGTTATTAAGCTTTTAGGAGTTAGGGGACAACTATTTCAATAATAAAATCACGTATTTACCTTTGGTTGCAATCTTTCCAGATATTTATTAAGTGTTCGTAACTGGTTAAGAGAAATGTACACAAGAAAGTGATAAATAAGATTACAAACCTTTGCCACAAATTAAAAAAAAGTTGTACGTTTGTTTGTCTGAGGTAACAAACATAAAAATGATTGCGCATTTGTATGTTCGTTATATCAGCACTCCTCATTTGCGAACCGCATGTTTTTTTTTTTATTTGGTTATACCTATATACTTACTTTTTGACCCCATTCAAATTTGAAGACTAATACCACCTCAAATGGTGAAAAAGCAAGGAATGTAGAATACAGTTTATTATAATCCGTATAAAAAACAGGCGCATTGAAGTTGGTGATAGATTTTCAAAAGTTTTATACTTTTTGCTTTACAATTTTAAAAAATCAAACAAATTAAAAAAGTTATCGTGATAAACTTGTCGAGTTTAAGTTTTTTTTTAAATAACAAAACAAGAATAACCTGTTGTTCTCATAGTTGAATATGTAATAATGTATAGATAGTAAGATAATTGAATATTCATACCTTAAACCTTTTTGATATCCTTCGTAAGTTACATTTTACGTTCATAAATTTATTGATATCTCTTTGATTACAGCTGCGTTAATGAGATTAGGGAGAGAATATGCCAAAACATGGAATGGTATATACAGAATTTGGATACCTCCTTTCGGTGCTGTGCTTATATATAATCCGGAAGATATTGAGGTTAGTTTAATATATCTGAACTTCATATTATAATATTAACGGGCCTGTTGGTCTAGTAGTTAGTGACACTGACTGTTAAGCCAAAGGTCGTGAGTTCAGTTCCTAACCAGATAGATAATTGTGATCATTTGTTATGTCTGGGTGTAACTTATCTATAATATGTATGTTTTAGAACTATATAAGTATGTATACCGGTAGTTTGGTAATCACAGGACAAGCAGAGCCCAGTTTGGGATCAGACGGCCGTAAATCTGGTTATTCTGGTTATCACTTACTTTTTAACTTTTACTTCGTTCGCTCTATTGTGAAATATGTTAAGTAATCAATGTACTATACCGTCGGAAAATTTCCATTTTTTTGTGATGACAACGTATCTCGACTTAATAGATATTATTATCATTATCAGAATAGCTGCTCCTTCTATTACAATATTATTTTTCTTCCATTACTCTTAGTAGGCATCACCTTTCAATGTACTCAAAATATTCTTATCTATGTCAAATGTCAAAGTGTAATATCAAAAGGACATTTTAGTTATTAGATAAGATAGGAGGAAAATTAGGGCAGAATAACTGGCATGCCTTTTACGAAACGACGACTAAAATTAAACCTGAGTCGTGGTAGCAAGCAAATATGTACTCAATAATCTTGGATGATATGATAGGACGTCGGATGATAATGATAATAATTAGTTGGTGATATTATATGACTATTTATTCTGTATATCAAAAATATTCACATTTATATCTATAAACATATTAATACGCGATAAGATTGATGTTTGCCCTTTGCTCAGAATTATTGATTACATTTTTTTGCAACAGTAGGTGTAATTAAAAAGAATGGAGCATCCGATGATTGGTAAAACAATTAAGACTACTTACTAGATATCGAACAAAGTACATATTACCCACACTTATTACTAATATATATGTAGCCAAAAGGTATGCACCATATTTTAAAAACTAAATGATAAGTAGATAATTCTTTCGTATATATGTAATGTTGTAATAAGAAATTAATTAAAAATTGACTCTACTGACCAGGATAACTTATTACATCGAAACATTACATCAAGTCACAAACACAGATATTTGTATCACATTCTAATCAAGTCCATTCACCCGTTTTTAGGTAAAAGTTCAAGAAACATTCGTCTATCCATCAATCATGTTTACAAACCTAAGCCCAAAATTACTAGCGTGTGCCGAGTCGAGACCTCACAGGTGGGACTCAATTCCCTCCTAACGACCGAGTGCAGAATCAGCTGTGCCCGGAAATGACCTGCGTCAGTCGGTGTCAAAAGAGATCCTAGTAAAGGGGAATGCCCATTTTCGGCCATGAAACGCCCAACAATTTGCTTTTGTTAGAAAAAAACATCTTATTTTCTATTTATTAATTGGGGTATTCATTTATCCTGACTGGTCTGCAACATTTAAGCAGAAAATAAAAGTACCGAAAAGATAAAAGTGAAATTACGTTTATCCGTATTTCATTGGTTTCTGACAAAATATTAATTGTTCCCAATTACTAATTTTACTATTTTTTGGACTGACATTATTATTTAATTTAATATTACTTGAAACTAATTGCACAAAACATCTTACGAGTTCTGCTTTTAAAACAAACAAAATAAATAAGCAAAATGGCGGTTTGTGTCAGCGATACTGAAGTTAGCAAACGTGTCCTGGCCGAAAACTGTGTCAGCGCTAGTAAGCCAGTAGCGCTCATAAGCGCTTCCTAGCGCTATTTTCTGCCAAACACAGCCATTATTTTATAGCTATATTATTCGATTTTCGGTAATTATTATGATTTCATTATGTTAGTGCTAATATTATTTATTTATTTATTTTAATAGAGCTAGGGCAGACTTTAGAAATATAAACGTAGGCTCCGAAAATGTTAGGGAATTTCCTATTTCAACTTACAGCGACTTAGTACTAATTGCTTGTGGTACATACCAATTAAAGCAAGCTCGCTCCTATTATGGTGAGCATATAAGAGCTAATGGTTGCTACCACATAGAAGTATGCAATGACCATAGGAGCAGCATTATGGAAGGAATACACCTTAGTCCTAACTGCTCTTTACTTAGGGCTAGAATCGCAAGTCGACACATCAGTCGAAAAATATATTTTATATATATTTTAATTAGTGGCAATGATTCTGGCAGAAGTGCAATTAAAAAGTATTGTTGTAACTGTGTTGTTGGCCGTCGAACGGTAGGATGTTGTGCCCATATAATGACAGTAATATGGTATTTGGGTTGGGCACGACATCAAACAAATATTTTTCCTCCGGCTCAATTCCTGGATGATGTACTAATTGTGTATGACACAAATGATGTATGATCATAAAATACCTAACAACTACATATAACTTGATATTGTATGTGAGAATAACAATAAAAATGATGAATAAGAAAAAAAAACTGTAGTTATTTCTGAAAATTAAAATCATTTTATATCTTAAAAATCCAGACTTTTTTTAATACCAATTCCTTAATCATTTCATTCTTTAAATTGTATATTATCGTTTCCATATGCTTTTATATGTGTGCACCTAGCGCCAAAGTGTCTATGGGTAGTGGGCATTCCCCTTTTATGTGTCAATCTGATTAGTTTAAATTCTTACTATTACGGACAATATTTACTTCTAAAACTATTTTATCCGTAATAAGAAGCATTTAAATTAATCATACTAACACATACAGAATCCCTAATGATATCTTTAGAGACCTCTCTACGGCCTGTTTTTATCTACGAGTATATAATTATTAAACTACATTATTACTAATGACATAATTACATAAAACATACAATTTAACATAGGTAAAACAAGCACCATACACTTAGAATATATTTATTAATACAGGGTTTTAACAATTAATTTTTGTTAATACAGGGTTTTAACAATGCATTTCAAATGTAAAGACTATTGCCATATTCCCCTTATAGAATTACAAGTTGGATTCCCGTACATAAGTTACAAAGTACCTTGCCATCTTAACATTTAACGCATATTATTAGCATACTAGGTTTAATCAATAAAATTTTCATTCATTATTAACGGTTTTATTTGTTATAAATCTGTTACACAGAAGTCATGTTATTTATTATTGCTATTTATCATTTTACTATGTTTATTATCGCACTATTAATCTTAAAACCAACCAACGAAATGTTGCATTAGATGTCATATTAGGCAAAATGTTTATGCTGTTACGCATTGGTACAAAAATATATAATTTTGATATATGAAATACACTATGACTGAAGAAGTACTTTGACACAGTAAGATATATTATTAAAAAGAACCTACAAGAGTTTCCTTTTAAGGTATTGAACTTAAGTATATGAAATTTATTATTAAAGTTAACTTTTTAGGAAGATGGTTACCTAATCAAAGTTGGAATTAGACATATTAACTTATTTTCCTATTCAATTCCTAAGTCAACTAAAAGGCTATTCACAGTTGTCAATTCTTTGTCATATTCTGTACGCAACAAGTAAAATCCTGTTCGTATATCCAGACAACATAAGACTCTTTCTGGTATTAAGCACCAGTAGCATGTATAATTTTGAAACAAACAACAACATTTGTCAATAGCGTTTTTTTTTATGTTAGAGGGTGCAGACGAGCCCACACACCACAGACTGGTTGTGCAGGGCAAAAAGTGTCTCGAAAAGCGCACAGTAGTGGAGCGCCAACTATCCAGGTAATGAGGATGAAAATTTTGCCGTGTGGAACGTCCAAAGTCCAAACAATTCCTCGTAGCACTCTCGATGATATATGCGATAGAGAATGCAGAGTGAAGCCACATCTCTACGTAACGCCAAGGGATCGAGCTGATCGGAGATGTTTTGGGCTATCGACGATTCGAGTCGCTCTTCGTTGGATGCGGTCCAGAGGGAGAATCTGGTACTGAGGTGCCCCTGCATAGAGATGAGAACAGTATTCCATATGCGGCCGAACTTGCGCCTTATAGAGCTGAAGGCGCTGGGCCGGAATGAAATACTGCCTCGCTCTGTTCAGTACACCGAGCTTCTTCGAGGCCAATTTGACCTTACCCTCTAAGTGACCCCGAAACTGGACTTCGCTCGATATGTCGATGCCTAGGATTCCGATGAATGCTGAGGCAGTTAGGGAGGTGCTCTCAAACTTAGCTGATACGACAAATTGTATCTTTTTTGCGGTGAACGCACAGACCTGTGTCTTTTTTGGGTTGAACTGGTCTAGATTTAGTCGGCCCCAATCTGAAACCTCCGCTAAGGAAGTTTCAATTTCAGACACAAGTTTTTTCGACTCTCGATGACGTTTTCCCGAGAAATATTGGGGAGGCCAGTATAAAGGGCATCTCCCATGCTATCATCTGCATAGCAATGGATGCTAGTAGCTTTCAACATGTCATTGATATGCAGAAGAAACAGTGTGGGTGATAGCACACAGCCTTGTGGAAAACCAGCATTTGCAAATTTCAAGTCGGAGCATGCGCCGTCGACAACGACGTTAATGCTTCTGTCCGCAAGGAAACTGGTGACAATGGCTGGTGAAAATCTAATTCGTAGTTGGACGGGTCAGAGCGATCACCACCCATGCCAACCATCGCCGCCCATGAACGTTGCAGACGTCACTTTCCATCAGGTGACCCGTCTTCTCGTCTGCCCCCTCTAACATAAAAAAAATTGGCGAAAAAAGCTAGGTTTTAACTTACATTTTCAGTTTCATTGAAACCCGAACACTTTGCGAGACCTTTTAACTCTGACTTCCAGTTAAAGCCTAAAATCTCGAGTGCATATATTGATAACCGACTTCAAAATCACAAAAGGTTATAAGTTCTTTATCAATTCGTCTGTATTTTTTTTTGTATGTTGTTACGCGATATCTCCGTCAACTGTGGACCGATTTGCAAAATTCTTTTTGTAATCCAAAGGGTATGATCGGATGATGGGATCCTAGAGAAATCGAGGGAAACCCTCAAATTTTACAGGCCCGATAACGTGTTTTAGCTTATTTCTCTAGCTTTATAGGTATTTGCGTTTAGTAGTCGTTAGGTCATGTTGCTGAGCTGATTATGGAAGGATTCTTGACCTCTAGGAGTTAGAAAATAACTATTGCAAAAATCTAATCATGTATTGACCTTGTTTTATTCTTTCAAGATATTTGTTAGGTACTTGTGTGGGGTTACAGAGAAATGTGCACAAGAGAGTAATCCCCAATGTGTTGCTGGACGAGGTCTGCAAGCTTTTCGAAAGAATAAGTGTTAGGACTTCGGCGGAGGAGGCAGTTGTACGCGGTGAGGTCGTCTTGGCGGTGTCTCTCGTTATCGCAGATGCCTTTAATATCCTGCCCTGGAGCTATATTAGAAAGGCTCTTCTTTACCATGGGGTGCCGATGTACCTCCGTCGATTTTTCGGGGCCTACATGACGGACAGAATTGTCACATATCCGGGTCGCTATAGCTCGGGTCGACAAGAGACTCGTACGGTGTTCCACAGGGATCAGTCTTTTGCCCTGTGGAACATCAGTTATGACTGGGTCCTGCGTGGTGCACTTTTCCATGATGTCGGCATAACTTGTTACGCTGACGATACGCTTGTAACAGCGCGTCTGAAGACGCAACTGCAAGGACCAATTCTGGCGACGACTCGTGTAGCGCAAGTGGTCGGTAGGATCCGGCGGTTGGGCCTGGAGGTCGCTTAGCACAAATAGAGGCCGTTTGCTTCCATTAGCCTAAGAAGGGCCCACCTCCAGGGTTACATATCGTGGTGGGAGCCGACCGCATCCGCATCAAGCGTACAATGAGGTACTTGGGACTCGTCCTGGATAGCCAATGGGCATTTTTGGCTCCACGGCTTTTGAGTGCCACCGGGCCTCTTGCGGCTCTAGCCCAACTTGGGTGTGCCCAATGCATATGTATCCTGCCAAAAGCTGTATCGGGATATCGATATCGGGATCGTAAGGTCTATAGTACTCTACGGAGCACCAGTATGGGCAAGCACTCTGACGGCCCGAAATATCGCAATTTTCAACGTGTGATGGCCACCAGAGTGATAAGAGGGTACCGTACGATCTCCTTCGAGGCGTCCGGCCTATTTGCCCGATCCAGCCCTAGGGATCGGTGGCGCGGGGATGCTCTAGATCGGGTTGACTACCAGTGCCTCGAGAAGTAGAGGCATACCGGGCAGTGCTCCGCTAGATCTTGGTGGCGGAGTGAGACCAACGGCTTGCGCGGGTCCAGTGCAGGGCATGCCGCAATAGCGGCGGTAAGACCCGTCCTACGAGAGTGGCTGGAGAGTAAATACGGAGCTCTCACCTTCCGGATGACACAGGTACGGACATGGTTGCTTCTTCAAGTACTTGTATCGGATCATCCGGGAGCCGACATCACGGTGCCATCATTGTGATGACTGCCGTGTCGACACGTCGCTTCACACGCTGACGGAATGCTCAGATTGGGCCAGCCAGCGTCGTGACCTTATCGCGGCAGTCAGTTCTGCGGATAGCGTCTCGCTTTCAACCATGGTTTTGTCCATGGTTGAAAGCGAGACCCGCAGCGAGAGTGCATGGAGCGTCGTCGGTTCCTTCTGCGAATATGTGATGTTATTATGTATGTGATGTGAATATATGTGATGTGTAATTCGTCTTCCGAACAGATACAGGCCCGGGAGGCAGAGCACAGTGTTCCGTGTGCGCTTTTAGAGGACTACGACCGAAGGGTGACGGTCGCAGCGGGTGACGAAACCTGTCTTGGGTGAGGAGCGGCGGAAGAATGCAATTGCGAGTCTCTCTCCCCTGGCCATTGGCAAGGAACACCGAGGTGGTTTTTAGTCGGTAAGAGTCCTACAGACCCCCCATACTGCGCAACAGACAGTCTCCAAGCTGCAAGAGCTGGGGTTGGAAGCTCTCCCTCATCCGCCATACTCACCAGACCTTGCACCTACCGACTATTACTTTTTCCAAAATTTAGACAACTTTTTAGTGGGTAAAAAATTCAATTCCCGAGAGTCAGTACAAAATGCCTTTGAAGAGTTTGTTGCCTCCCGTCCAGCTGATTTTTACAGGAAGGGCATCAATAAACTGCCAATGCGTTGGCAAAGATGCGTCGATTGCATGGGTGATTACTTCGAATAACAGAAATAAAAAAGATTGAAAAAATAAGTACTTTCACTTATTGCATACAAAATACTGTCCGTGTGGTGACGGATTAAGAATACAAATTGTCACCACCCCAATTCTTCCCGTGGGTGTCGTAAGAGCCGACTAAGGGAGCAAACTAAGCAGGACAACAGCACTGCAAAGAGAAGGAAAACTTGAAACAAACCCTATACCAACCCGTCTGGCCAGCGTGGTATAGTAGGCCAAAACCTCTTTACTAAGGAGAGGCCTATGTTCAGCAGTGGACTAGTATAGGCTGTTGATGATGATGCATACAAAACGGCAATTTCATAGGTAAAGACCTATTATTTTCGGGTTCAAATGTAACATCTTACAGCCTTATCTAAATAAAGTAACGGACTTATTAAACTAGATTTAATATAATCTAACATACTAGTTTTGTACTATACATTACGATACGTAGTGTTTTAAATATCGTACTTATCTACTCACTACAAAAATAAATCCCTTTAAAATAAATTGAACCCACTTCAAACAATACTGAAAAAGAGCACTAAAAATTAAAAAAAAAAAATACAAATCTAAGTAAAAAAACCTATTTTAAGTACCCTCAATATAACAGGTAACATTATAATAGCAATAGCCCCTTCTTAGACCAGGGTCGATAATTTTGAAAATGGTAAAAAGTGAAATAAAAATATAGTAGGATGAAACTCGTTAAAAAAGGACGAGAATATAACAAAAATGAAAGGAAAAATAATTTACGGGCGATCTGAGGTCGGGAAGTGGAGGGGGGGGGGGGGTTAAGGGTAAAAAACGGTGTATCTCGATTGCCGGCCAAACTACAAGTCCTATGGAAAAAAATCAAATGACAAAGTTGTAGGTAATTTTTTTTTTCACATTACCTCAAAATTTATGTGAAAAATTCAAATAATCAAGTTTTTGGTTTTTTATTTTTATCTTATGCAAAAACAATTTCTTCTGTCACGAAATTTGGTGAAAACTTACCTTTTTATGTCCTAAAGACACTGTAAATTTTTTTATTTGAAATATTTATTTTTTCACCTTATTTTGACTTAATACCGAAAATACACCCTAATTTTCAATCGAAAATTCTCGCGTAAAAAAATATCAGCTTTTAAAAAAAAAAACGTAAATTTTTTGTTCGTTGAAATCTCTTCTTTCTGATAATGTAATAAAAAATAGACATTACTAATGTAAATGTTCTCAAAAAATGCAAAGAAAAGAAAAAAACTCGTATCCGAAATATTTTTTTTAATCACTATGTACAATTTTGAGCTATTTAGTAAAATTTACACTTTAATTACTTGAAAAACATAAGATTCTATGTTACATTGATAAACAAAAAATACAAATCGAACTATACTACTATAATTAACAACTAAATAAGTTAATATTTAATAAGACATCTACAATATTTTGAGAAAGTTGTAGAATATTCTTTAAATTATGTGCATAGATGCCTATTTAGCCAAGCCCCTTCCCCACTTCTCTATGAAAACCTTTTGATGAGCTAAAATTATCACTAGGTAACTCAGGTATATAAGTTATCTTAAAATGACAATAAATGTGTTTTTGTCGTTTGAAGAAAAAAACACAACTAGAACCTTATAGTACTTTTTATTGTTTTTCAAAGTATTCACCACGTAGCTTAATACACTTTTCTATTCGCTCAAACCAGTTATTATAACATTTATTCCACTCTAAAGTGGGGGTGTTCAAAATGGCTGACTTGAAAGCGTCGACTGCTTTTTCACCGGACTGGAACCTTTGACCACGAAGACTTTCTTAATTTTAGGAAATGTAAAGAAATCGTTAGGGCTTAGGTCAGGACTGTATGAAGGATGGTCAAGAATTTCTACTTTTTTCTGCTTCAAATACTCAATCGTTTAACGTGTGAGCTTGCGTTGTCGTGGTGCAGGATGATGCGTTGCTTTGAGTTAGATTTTCGAAGTTCGGCGATGACTTGTGGTAAACAAACTGTGGTATACCACTCTGCGTTAACCGTTCTACGATCTTCAAGTGCAAGAGTCGCAACATGGCCGGTTTTTCCAACGAACGAGGCCACCATCTTCTTTGAAGTGCTTCGAGAACGAACAACTTTTGTCGGCTTTGGCTCGTCTTGAAAGACCCAGATTGTAGAGTGTTGTTTGGAATCAGGATCGTACCCATAGATCCAAGATTCGTCACCACTGATGATGTCTTAGACGTGATTTGACTCTCCTCGGTTGAACCTTTGCAGAGTTTTCTTACACCATCTGACGCGGGCCGCCTTGTGATCGTCGGAAAGCAGATGCGGTATCCAACGGCAACCTAGCTTTCTCACACCAAGCGCTTCATGCAAGATCTTCTGAATGGTTGTCCCTGAGATGCCTAATAGAGCCTCTATCTCTCGATACGTCACATGAAGATCTTCGAGAATTAGTTGTCTCACAGCAATGATGTTATCTTCAGTGAAGGTGGATTTTGGGTGCCGTTCGCGAGATTTGTCACTAAAACTAGTATGTCCACGCTGGAATTCTAAACACCAGCGTTCAACAGTCCGCAGACATGGGGCTTCATCACTGTATACAGATGTTAGCTCTTCAAAACACTGAAGCCGTGTCAGGCCTCTTCTAAAGTTGTAAAAAATTATTGCACGAATATTTTCCTTAGAAAGATTCATTTTCGTACGTAACAGATTCCAATCGACGCTGTGACTAAACAATAGCATTAATCCTAACACTTTCAACTGTTTTGAGATTCAAAATTTAAACACATTCGAATATAGGACAGTGCCAAATTCAAAATTGCCGGGAAATATGGAAACGACAAAACTTAGAAGGTAGTAGTAAAGCTAGTAATAATTCTTTTTTCAGACAGTTATCTCCGGCACAAAGTATAATGACAAAAGCCTAATTTATGGGTTCCTGACGCCGTGGTTGCGAGATGGATTATTGCTTAGCAGTGGTATGTACGAGAGTCTCTTTCCTTTCTTTTACTTGTCTTCCATTCTGTGGATTCCCCAAAGTACATCATAATACCTTGAAAGATTTTTATTTAATAGAGTTGAACATCGTTTCGTTATAGTACAACTTTAATCAACCGTTAAAATATATCACACTACCTAACTACAAAAGATAATCAAATTTAAGGTTCAAAATGGCAAGAACGCCGCAAGATTCTCACCCCTGCTTTCCATTTCAATATTTTGCGACAGTATTTCCTAATTATTGAAGAGAACAGTCAACGATTCTTGGATAATCTGAAGCAAACGGCTGGGAAGCCCATCGATATTGCCCCAGTTCTATCAGAGTTTACTCTTAGTTCTATATGTGGTAAGTGTTTCTTATTTTAATAATATTACAAACGTAAGAGTTTGCGAGGATGAATGGATAAATATTTGTTACTCTTTAACGCAAAAAACGGCTGATTGTAAAGTAGAAGGAGTACCTCAAAAGTTAGTTCAATGTTGTCATAATAAGTATTTGAATGAAAAATATTCTTATTACAAGTAGGTAACCAAAATTAATTAATTACGACTAAAAATTAGGTAGCAATTTGTCCTATAAGTTAAGCCTCTAACGTGAATATTTTGGGGTAGATTCTTTTTCAAAGAGAAAATTGTGTGATTCACAAATGGTGGTTTCGAGTCAAGGTATTTATGCGTTTGTGCATCAGTTTAAATAAAAAGTTACCAAAAAATACAATGTCAGATATTTGGTAGAAATCATTGAGCAAACAAAAATTCTTCTTCTTCTCAGCCGAAAGACGTCCATAGCTGGACATAGGCCTCCCCCAAGTTTTGCCACAACAATTGGTCCTGTGTTGCCCGCCTCCAACGGTTTCCCTTCGCCAGGTCGTCAGACGATATTAAAAAAAAACAATACTGAAATAAATGTAAATAAAAACCGTCTCTGGTTACTGAAGCAACAAAAACACTTTATTCTACTAGCGCAAAATGGTACTCTGAAGTTCCTACGCGAAGGTGATTTTGTCTAGGTAATTAATTTGAAATGTTTTTTTTTTAATGGCATAGGTCCCAAAACAAATGAGGTTCTCAAAAAAATTAAGAAAAACAACTGCAAAAAGAAAAATATCCATACATTTTTGATTTCATTTTTTAGAATTGTTAGGAACGTTAGTTTTAATTTATAAAAAAGCAAAATCGTCAACATCAACATCATAGGACATATACTGATGGACATAAACCTCTCACGGTAGTCTCGAAAAGGTTTTTGCGTTAATAAATTTTCATGTATTCATGAATAAGATACCACTTGATACATTTATAAAACATATATTTTTTGACATAGTAGATAATAAGTTGAGTTTTTTTTAGGTTACCATGCTTATACTAAGCTCTGCTCGATGCGACTTCGCTCGCAAGTACACCGCCTCACCTTAGTTTTTATTCCAAAATAAAAGTAATCTAAGTTATTTCTAATAACACTAGTTACCTCCTAATCGTGGTAACCAGACAGATGAACAGACAGACAGAAAAACAATGATTTTGTATATGTCGTCTTTTATTACAATAATACAAACATACACTTTATTTATTTGTACAGATTTAAAACGGAGTTATGAAAATCACATTTTTATCAATTTAATATAGCTGTTCTCATTAATAACAGATTATTATTTTCCGTTACATTGCAGAGACCGCTATGGGTACTCAACTTAATGAAGATTCAGGCTCTGGAAAATCATACAAACAGGCCATATACTCATTAGGTTACGTAATTATGCACAGATTTGTCAGAATTTACTTGTATCCTAAGTTTATTTTTGATTTAACATCACTTGGAAGGGCACAAAGACATCATCTAGAAGCAGTTCATAGGTTTACTAAACAAGTAATACAAAAGAGGAAGGCTTACGTTGATAAATACGGCCCTAATTTACCTGATGACAACATCGATGATGAAGTATTTGTATACAAAAAAAAGAAGAAGACGGCCATGTTAGATTTGCTGATATCAGCAGAGAGAGAAGGCCTGATAGACAAAGAGGGTGTTCAAGAGGAAGTGGACACATTCATGTTTGAAGTGAGTAGAGTCTGATTACAAGACATTGTCGTTTCTCCTTGTGAATAAAACATCATTGAGGTAGACAATGAGTCAGGCTTTTGACATGTAATCCTTTATACTTATAATCTATGTTTAGAAAAGTAGTATATTAAAAAAGCGCTTCTTACACACAAAAGTTTTGAAATTAAGGAAAATCTCGGTCTGATCGAATGTGCGTGGTGTCGCAGTGCTGTGTATCATTTTGTGTTATTGATATTTGCTAGTTGTGTACTTGACTAGAGAATACGCCCGTGTCCAGATGATCACCGGATCCTGGTAACGGAAATACGGGTTGGGACTACACTGGTAACGTAGTTTATCAATATATTTATATACAACACATTTAGATAAAACGGATAAGGCTCCAGGTAAGTGGATTAATTCTTCTCTTGGACAGCTCCGCGCTATCGCGGAGCTGAGGAGTTTGGAGTCGCGGGAGAATCCCAAACATTTCTGGTAACCGAGCGTGGTCCGGTTAGGCTTCGTTTACGATTCATGATAATTAAAATTACAGTGTAACGGGTACTAGGTATTGTAGGTTATTAAGGTTACGTTTTTTACCTTCATATAAGCAATAGCCGTATATCAGTCTAGTTTTGTTTACTGTATAGGATATCTTCGGTACACTTTTAAGATTTGAAAAGTTCACATTCACATTTTTAGTTTGGCGGTAAACTTTTTTCAACATTTCTAGAATAAATTTATAAGTGCAAATATAGTAGGTATCTTTGTGTTCGGAACATAGATTAGCATAGTAACAGATGTGCCAGTCTGTCTGGCATGCATTAAGATTTGCTAGAAGTGACATTTGTCATATGTACGGGTATTGCCTTGTTCTTAACCGACTTCGGAAAAGGAAAGGTTAATTTTTTCTGATTTCGGGATTTATACTTCTCTTTATTCCAGGTTAGTTGCGTTGCGTTTTTGGTTACGTAGTGTAATTTATTTATTTAATTCTGGGTACCGCCTCGGACAGACGGAGTTAATTTTTTCATTTTTATATTGTTTTCTTGTATTTAACCAATTAGTTTCCTTCTTTACTAGTGCACTTTCAGCTTATTTTTGAGATGTCGCCTACGGTAGCTAGGGCAACATTAGCACGCGTATTGTAATACTCTTAGTTATAGTCAGCTGCCGGTTTAATCGGTCGGCCGGACCGGGTGGTTGAACTTCGGACGTAATCGGCATGAAGAACTGGAAGTTTACTTAGGGCAATTAGAGGAGGCTTATCAGGTAATCCTGGAGGCGGGAGCCTCGGTTGAGGACGAGTCGGTCAGGGCGAAGTTCGCTCGTTATCACCTAGACTACGAACAGGCCTTGGAACTCGCGGATACATTTGGGGCAGCGTATACGCGAATGGATAGTACTTTTGGGTTGGCCCAGACGAGGGGCCACACGACACAACCGGGATTGGTCGCTCGGCTCCCGTCTCTCAATCTTCCCTATTTTTAGGAAGGTTATGAGTAATGTTTACCTACTCCACTTTCTGGAAGAGGAGTCTAGGATGGTGGACAATGAGGAAGGATTCCCCCCCTACCCCCACTTGAGTAGATCGGATAGATATATCGACCACCCCCAAAAGGGAGGGGCTAGTCAGGTCAGTCAGTGCGAGCTCGGGCTCCGACGAAGGGGGTTGCGATGGCAGCGGGCCAGGCGCTGTCTTCCTGCCACTTTTGAGACCGAGCGGCTCACCCGCTCCTGAATTGTGAGGAGACGAGCTAACGTTGGGGTTGGTCGCCAGGGCCTCAATTCTGCTATTTTATGTTCACGCCAAGCCACTGTCATACCACTGACACGCTATTGAGATGCCATCGAGTGGCCATTGGCATCGGTATAAATATCGGTAGTTGAAAATATATTACGTTTTTTAAGGAAATGTTTTTTTTTTTTTAATAATTTATTAATTTATTTTAATAATTTATTATATTGGTGATTTTGTAAGATCTATACTAATAATAGTATATAATACTAATAATAATTATACGTATACTATTATTATAGCAAAACAAATGTGATATCTATACTAATATTATAAAGCTTAAGAGTTTGTGTGGTTGTGTCTCAGGAACTACTGATTTGAATTAAAAACCTCTTTTAGTGTTAGATAGCCCATTTATCGAGGAAGGCTATAGGCTATATAGGGAGCCGAGTATGAGTATCAATGTAAAATGTTGCAAAAACGTTGCAGTTTTATATAAAATAAGGGTATCGACATGTCTATGTTTAAAAAAAATACCTAAAATACTTGAGTACCAAATTAAAAAATAATAAAAAAGCTTGAAAACGGTGACTATGTAAGTAGTATTGCGTTTTACAATCGTTATTGTTGTATTGTGTAACTTCATGCGAACTATTAATCTAGCAAACTTAAACGTCAGAAATAAATGTGTCAGTCCCACTTTATGACCGAAGTGACCTTGAAGTATAACCACGTCGTTCTTTTATCATGGTAAAATAACTTAGAAATACTTATAGTAAACTAGATTTTTCCTGCGGCTCCTAATGTACATTTTTGCAATCAATCCACCATCGGCCAAACTATTTCTGGATAAAATGTACCCCCTATCTATTTCCATAGGTATCCCCAGCAACGTGTAGGCAGTATTTACGAAAACAAATCTTTTTTGTCATTAAAGTCTTATGTTTATTTTAATTCTTACTTTTTGCTTCTACTGATGTTTCCAACAGACAACTGACAAGAAACGCAGTCAGTTTTTTCATAATATTGAATGTAGTATAGTGCAGAACACAGAGAACGAGCAATTCCTGTTGTTACTAAGCAGCCTTGTCATTTAAAAAAAATGGATGCTATTAATAAGTTGATTGTCATTCTGTTGTTCATTCTAAAACAGTTAATGTCTCATGAACTTTTTAAATTTGATTTATGGTTGGTTGAGTTGTTAAAGGGTGAAAGCGTAATATGCAAAACGGAATTCTTTATTTCTATGAGACAGGATGCACATTATTTTATTTTTTTCATTTATTTTTTAAATAAGACATAATTATTTACAGGGACATGACACCACTGCATCAGGGCTTACATTTTGCTTTTTGTTACTTGCGAACCACAAAGACATTCAAGTAAGTCTCATCAAGTCCTTAGAAATATAGCATAAGACTAGGTGGTATAAGTTTCTAATTATTAACTAAATTTTCAGGATAAAATTGTATCTGAGTTAAAAGAAATATTCGGTGACTCAAAGCGAGCAATTACAATGGGAGATTTATCAAAGATGAAGTACATGGAATGCTGTATTAAGGAAAGCCTCCGATTATATCCGCCAGTGCACTTTATTAGTCGTAACTTGACTGAAGCTACAGTTTTGAGTTCGTTATTATAATTATTATGTTAATAGTGATATAATATTGTTCGGTATCTATGTTCAGTAATGGATCCCCTCTTCAAATAAATGGCTCTCTTTATGTAGTAAATTGAAATATAAGATGCAATGATGTTAATCATGTGTCAATGTTTTATATAATCTTTTAGGAACTTGGTGGAAATCGCACTGTTATAGCAACTCTGAAAACGGTAGTTTGGGAAATGTATCAGCTAAACAGATTTTGCCTTATATGTTATTTTTTAAGGAATTCAAATTTTTACACCCTTTCATTCCTTCTAGTTTTAGGTCTCTTACAAATCATAGGTAATATTTAATCATTTTATCAATCACTAACAACCCTACCCGGCTTGGCACATGTAAAAAGAGTAGGTATATTTACGAGTATATGCATACATTTTTTCGTTATTGTATGTTAATCTTTTAATAGGAATAAATCAGTAACAAGTTGTTTACGCGGCACTCGACTAACCCCAGTAATCATGATTTTGCAAGCATCATTAATAATCGTCCTTATATTTTAGCAAAATTTTTACAAAAATCGTAATGAATTATCATTTACTAAACGAACTACTATTGGATTTTATCATGTGAGGACTTTATTTTATAATAAGTAGTAATTTGATAGCGATAAAGGGATAATCTATAGGTTCGCAATGTATACCTAACAATAAAATTAATAATATTTACCATTTTAGGTAACTACACAGTTCCAGCCGGTACTTTGTGTCACATTCCAATCATAGATCTCCATCGTCGCGCAGATCTCTTCCCGGATCCTGAGAAGTTTGACCCTGACAGATTTTTACCAGAGAATAGCGTGGGTCGTCATACCTACTCATACATACCTTTCAGCGCTGGTCCTAGAAACTGCATAGGTAATTAATGATTGATAGTAGACAATGGTGTTGCTATAATTTTAGTGCGTGACATAAAATAGAATCTCTTTCTAAGGAGAGATCTATGTCCAGCAGTGGACTGTTATAGACTGTTGATGATGATGATAATTTATAAATGTTATCTTGTCAGTTGATGACTCTGTCTTGTGAGCCTCTGTCAGTGGCCTCACCTATCACAGGATGGATATATGGACACGAAGTCTTTCGGATATCCCTTCCAGTTTCCCCAAACCTTAATTCTCTCGCTCTATTCTTTTCCTTACTCCAATTACACTTCTTAATGTATAATCCGAACAAGATTACAGTTGTTTGACAATGTTTTTGTAAAGTAGTGGATCTACTTTAATTTTTCATGTTTTTATTTAGCATTACTTTTTAACCGACTTCAAAAACACAATTCGTCTGTCTTTTTTTTAAATATTTAAACCTACATAAACTTATTCCTTTTCTTACACACATACCTCATAGGCTTTCTCTATTGACTCTGTAATCATCTCATCTCATCTTTTTAATTTTATCATATACTAGCTGGTACCCGCGGCTTCTATCGCGTGGAATTTGAAAAGCGCTGCCTTAGTGGTAGTACGGTACGCGACTGAGGTGTAGTCCATGAGGCTTCGGGTTCGATTCTTGGAACGGGCAAAATTTTATAGGGTTTTTTCTAAAAGGGGAAATAGTCTAAGTTGCTCCTTATATAGACAGGTACCTGGTAATAAAATATTATCAAAATCGGCACAGCCGTTTTGAAGATTACCCAGAACAGACAGACAGACAGACATACCAAAAATATTTAAACTGGTTTTGTAGGCAAACGTATCGTGCAAATATATATGTATGAGCATGAAAGAAATCTCATATTTTGACATTACAAACAGATACTTTAATTTTATTTATTTGTATAGATTTAGTGAATAAATTATTTATTTTCAGGTCAAAAGTTCGCTATGATGGAGATGAAAATTGCAATAGCAGAAGTTTTAAGACAGTTTGAACTACAGCCCGTAACACGTCCTTCAGACATTGTTTTCATGGCAGATCTCGTTCTTCGAAACGAAGGGCCGGTGCTCGTACAATTTGTAGAAAGGCACTAAGAGTAAACGATTTAAAATTTAAAAAAAAATATAACCAACTGAAAACATAAAATGAGTTTTATAAAATTATTCGTGTTCTACTTCTTGTATTATTTATATTTATTTATATTATATATTTATTTTTACGGCTTAGGAGACAATTGACTGATGGTAAGTGCCTACCGCTGCCCATTGATCCTGCAACTCATGAGTCACAAGAGCGTTGCTGCCTTTTGAAGTTTGGGCTCCGGTAACACACACACACACACACTCAGTGAAAGGCTTAATATCGGTGTTCTGTGAGACCGTAGTATCAATCCGGTCGAGTCTATTTGTGCCAACGGTAATGATGAACCGAAGTCACTTAAAGCGAAATTGAATTATAGAGGAGAACTATGTACTACTAAAAATAGTAGTCGTTCTCCTTAATATTTCCCAATCCTATAAATCAATATCATAAAACAAAGAGGTTCTTTTCATTTGAAGTCCCTGCGTGGACCTCCTTACACTATTACACTTGGTCCTTTAACCCGGGCGTGGGTGAATAATTATTAAATTTACATTCAACTTAAATGCCCAGTCATTGTATTCTGAAGGTACATTACATTTGAGATATAAAATCTAGCTTTGTAAACAATACAAATTAGCGGCTTTATCGCTCGGAGGCAAGTGTAATAGTGAGTGTCCATGGACACTATTAGTCCAGGAGCCAGTGACAGATTTTCATGACCAAGTCCCTCCCAATCGAAACTTCGTAAAATACATAAGGGACTTATACTATGAATACTCGCGACCGTCAGCTGCGACTCCGTGGGTGGGGTGGGCAGTGGCAGCCTCCCACGCATGGAGAAAAAGAAAGTTTTTTCAGTCATTTCCTCTCATTTGAAAATTTATCAGAGTATAGTTTATGAAGTATTTTGAAAGAAAAACATAGTCAGCTGACCATAACACGGTGGATTAGACATCAGCTGGCTCCTTGAACATGAGAAAAAAATATATATTTTCAATGATTTCCTCTCAACTAAAAATTTACCTGGTGATCGTTTATATGCTACTATGAATGAAAATTAATATCAGCTTGCTGTATCTCAGTGGAAAGTTTGAAAGGAACACCTTGAAAGGTGTAACGCAACAGCATCTATGACCTACTGAAACTTATCAGCTGACGACTTTTCCCTTGGCTTACAGCTAGCTGATTTTTTTTTATTTACTAGAGTATTTTAAAAATTCTCTGATAAATTTTCATCCGGGAGGATATAACGTTTCTGAAGTTATTCTTTACTTCTATATTGCAGGTAGATTGTAAATTGAAATTACCTTCTCCAGATGCTATACTATAGCAAAGGGTACACTTGGAGATGGTAAATTTTACCCATGACTGCGTACAAAGGCCCTTTGTTGTGTATACGATGGATATTTCATGTTACATCAAATGAACGAAGTTCCTCTTTGGAAATATTTCGAAAAAAGTTTTACAGATGATTTGTGCAAACACAGCTAAGATTATCATCATTGCTTTTGATCGGTACATATTTCCATCGATCAAAGATACCGAACACAAACTTCGAGGTATGGAGCAAGCTAATTTTCATATCGATGGCCTGATCAAGTACGAAAAAAAGGTTTTTCAGTCGAGCTAAAATATATTTATTTCAAGGAAGCACTTATTCAGTTCTTTATTGAAAATTGAGAACAAGATTATATGGCACTATACATGGGAACCAAAACTATTTATGTGAATACGGATACTTGTTATAGATACGTGGTCACTGATGGAAAAGTTGTAAGAACTGTAGAAAACGCATTTTTGTGTCCAGCTTATGTAGAAGCGGATACACAAATGATTTTTCACCCTTGTCAAATCGATTTTAGTGCTAACTTAACGATTCGTTGTTCTGACACTGATGTATTGGTCATAATGTTAGCTAATATGGTCCATGTTTCACAAGATGTTAACGTTTTTATGGAAGTCGGTGTTGAAAAACATGTGAGGTTCATCAATGTCACTCAACTTTATGAAACTTTGGGATCGGATTTGAGCGCAGCACTTTCAGCATTCCATGCATTTCAGGATGTGTACACATTTTTGGACAGCAATGATGAATTTCAGTTGCCTAAAAAAGGTATTGACGCTTACATTGCGCAGGTCTCACGATAACCTTAAAATTCCAACAACTGAAGAACCCACAGACTATGGTTGGGTAGAAATAGACAACCGATTTGAATTTGATTGGTTTTCTGATGTTCAGTTACCAAAATCGATTGAGGAGATAACCATTCAGCCTGAAAAAGGTATCAATTCTTTTTTTATATTTTTATTTTTTCATATGACCATGTTTTACTATACATGCGGACTAATAATTTTTCTTTTCATTTCTTCACAGATGATGATGATGAAGACATGATCGCATATAACTCTGACAGCGACTCTGAATCAGAGAGAGAAGAAAGCGACTCAAGCCAAAGCGAGAATGAAAATGATTAATTTTTATTGTTTTTTTAATTAATTAATTGAAATAAAAGTTTATTAATTGAAAGAATAAGCTACAATAAATTATTCAATAATTAATTTACTCATAGGTACCAACATTTCCTCCAATATTAAACTTCATATTTGTTATCACAACTCTCAAATCAAACATACTGCCAAATAACTTATAAAATAAATAAAAATAAAAAAGCCTTTTATTCCATGCATCTACAAAAAAATAAAGTAAAAAAAAAATCGTTTTTGCATGACATGCTTGATTGTTAAATATTATTATAATTAGGTATAAACTTTTATTCCATTTAACTTCTTATTAAATATAAATTACAATAAATTATTATGGTAATCATTTCATTATTTAAATTAAGAGTACAATAAAATTTAATTTGATAATAATAGAAAATTTAAATAGTTTATCCTTTATCTATTTATAATTATTCATGCCTCTCAGGTGGCAAAAGCCTCCAAGGCAAGGCCTCCAAAGATTTCCATTTGCTTCTGTCTCGTGCCACAGTGATCCAGTCTGGTCCAACGGCTTTTCTAATGTCATCCTCCCATCGCATATATGGTCTACCAACACGCCGGTTGCCCTGAGGACGAGCTCATGTAGTTACTTCCGAAGTCCATCTGTGATCTTTAAGTCGTGCCACATGGCCAGCCCACTTGAATTTCAATCTTTGAGCATATTTGAGAGCATCAATTGTTTTGGTTATGCTTCTTATTTTTGTATGACGGATTCTGTGTGTCTTTCTTATTTTTAGCATGCTGCGTTCCATTCCCCATTGCCAAATAACTGAAGAAACATTATTTCCTCCCGGATCAAAATTTATCAGAGAATTGTTAAAATACTCTAGAAAATAATAAAAAAAATCAGCTAGCTGTAAGCCAAGGGAAAAGCCGTCAGCTGATAAGTTTCAGTAGGTCATAGATGCAGCTGTTGCATTACACCTTTCAAGGTACCAGCTGACAAACTTTCCACTGACAGCAAGCTGACATTAATTTTCATTCATAGTAGCATATAAACGATCACCAGGTAAAGTTTTAGTTGAGAGGAAATCATTGAAAGTATTTTTTTTCTCATGTTCAAGGAGCCAGCTGACGTATAATCCACCGTGTTATGGTCAGCTGACTATGTTTTTCTTTCAAAATACTACATAAACTATACTCTGATAAATTTTCAAATGAGAGGAAATGACTGAAAAAACTTATTTTTTCTCCATGCGTGGAAGACTGCCACTGCCCACCCCACCCACAGAGTCGCTGCTGACAGTCGCGAGTATTCATAGTATAAGTCCCTTATGCATTTTACGAAATTTCGCTCGAGAAGAAATAATTGACCGAAAATGTACCTGGCTCCTGGACTATATGGGGGTTCAAGTGGAAAAAACCAACAAAAATAGTGATTAAATTAAGAATAAGATATAGAATAAGAAATGAAGATAGTGATTAAAAGTTTAAGCCGCTATGATATTCGTACTCTCCAGTGAAGTCAGTCTTAACATTTCATAGTTATGACAGCTGGCACAGCTTAACACTTAGAGAACATTTATAGACCTGAGACCTGATGAGACCCTTTTTTCACGGAGTAGGGGCCAGGGCCACGCCGACCACCACAGCGCTTTTTTTCACAAATGTATCAATCTTTTTATTATTTGTTAATTTTGATCAAAATAAATTTTGTCCAGTTTTATATATTTAGATAATATTTTCCTAAATAGGTAAAACCAGTTTGCTTCCGCTTGCCAATTACTGCGAAAAATAAAACACAAATTAAATTTTTACATACTTTATTTATGAAGTTATATATAATTGTATACTTAGATATTATTAACAAAATAGCTGATTTTTTTCTAATTTAGATTTAACTATTGTGTATGTTATTTCTAAAATAACAACAAGAATTTCAAATTTGTAAGAATATAAACATACTTAAATTATATTATTTCCACTCTTCTCGCTTTTCTGTTTGCGAAATAATTAATAGTGTCGTGTATGTCTATATGGTCTAATATTGCCTCCTCTAAGGATATTGTTGTTAAATTTGTTAATCTTTCCTTGCTCATTGTTGAGCGCAGGTCATTTTTATAAGTTTTAATTTGGAAAAGGACCTTTCCGCGCTAGCTACGGTAACTGACATAGTTAGCAAAATTCGTAATGCTATGGTGATGTGGTGATACATCTGTCAAATTGTTTGAATATATAAAATGCGAGAATTTTCACCACATCATTATTTATTTTTTTGAAAAAAAGACTGACATGACATAATTTATTCACACAAATCATCATTTGGTAGAGGACGAAAAATATTTATATAATTCTTGCACAATATTAAAAAATCTAGAGGTATGATGATTGAGATTAGCAGCGTCATTTACCTACTATTAAATTTAAACTATAGCAATCTTTTTCGTAGACTATTATTCTTACCGCGCATATTTGATCCATTATCATAGCCCTGTCCCCTTAAATTGTTTATGTCCAAAGTATGTGACATAAGTTTAAAACAAAATGTTGAATTTGGTTACCGAGTATGTAAATTATTTCATTTTGGATCTTATGTCCAAGATGAGTCGGCATATTTTTGAAATCCGAATCATTCGTTACGCGTCGTATATGTTTAGTCATTGAAAGATCGAATTTTCCTAATATTTTAATACATTTTAAACAATACCATTGTTACGGTCGTATTATTTCTGGCTTTGGCCACAAAAAGTCATATTTTGTGTACTTAGAAATTGGATTACATACATTATTATTTTGATTACATCGTACCGGCGCTGATTTTTTATAATTATAAGGAAAAAGTGGTGCAAAGCGATGAAAAGAGACAATGTATCGTGTTTAAGCTGTTTATATTGTTGTGAAGAGAATTTTTACTTAGTTCATCATCATCATCAGTCTATCGCAGTTCACTGCTGGACATAGGCCTCTCCCATTGCACGCCATTTAGATCGATTTTGGTCTTCTCAAATCCCGCTTCTGCCAGCACTCACAACAAATCGTCACTTCACCTGGCCTGTTACTTAGTTACCTGCATATAATTTATTTTACAAACTTCGGCGAAAACATTACTTGGTTTACGAAAAGTTCGTAAAGATTTATTTATTTGTTAGTTCTATTTTTTCACAATAAATTGCAAGACTATGTATATTTTTATTATTCTTTAGAATAATGAAAATATCCGACTTGTAAATACAGAAACAGAAATAAACATCTTTTATACAACTATACATGTGGATAATAAGCCACATAACATGTTTGGCTAGTACTTAAAATAATTAAATTATCAATGTGTAATACATACGTATTTATCCATAACAGTAGTGCCTATGCTTGCCTATGAATGAAAAAAATACCCTCCTCCCTACTTATTAGAGTAAGATAGAAGTTCTTAACTATACCTTACTAATTTTATTTCTAGGTCTCAGATTGAAAAGAATTATATGTATTAAACAATTTATGATCATCATAAACACGTCTATTTTAAGAAGATCATCTAATTGTGCTTTGACGAAACTGGTTTCAGTCATTAAGTCTTTCTTCATAAGGATTTAATAGTTTAACACAGAAAACAAATAACGTAATATGAGAGAATCGCGAAACAATACAAAAGAATAATCCCCAGAAACCATACAACGACTTGTTCACAGAAGACGTCGAGTGAAATTTGACATCACGTTTTGTTCCACCAATAGCGTTGCGTTTTAGAAATTTCTAGACAGTTAAAAAAAAAACACTTTTTGATGATTAAATTTCACTATTAAATTATGATAAATTTAAAAAATAATGTTATATCTTTTTTAGCAATAAAGTGTAAAAATAAAAATATTTAGTCCATTTTGGAGTCACATGCATATTCTCTGTTAATGCCTATGTAATGCTTTAATAAATAATAATAATTATAATGCTAGTGCTTATAGCTGTCAGAAATGGGTATAAATGCTAGGCGTCAATCAGATTAAGAGTCTGCTGCGGAAGATCTTTGGGTGACAATTTGACACTCTAAATGACCAAACAACTAAGGAAAATAGTATCGGTATAAATATTACAGTGACAAGATGAAAACTACTGTCTGAGATTCGTAGGAGTGTATCGAGAGTCACAAAGAAGTTCAAGAATATCGTAGTCTTCTTTTCCTCTTTGATACACTCGTGCGCACTGTCATAGAGTACAAGTCACCTGTCTGGTCTCCCTACTATGCTATCCATGTATATGTATCCAAAGGAAGTGCCTCAGAATATTGTGCTTCAGATACAACGTTCACCATCCCGGTGAACGTGGTATCTGAAGGTACGCTGTTATGAAGACAAATTAGACAAGTTTAAGTTGCTCTACATTGAATCGAGCCGCAAGTGTCATGATCTGCTATGTCTTCATGAGATCATACATTCCGTTGTTGACTGCCCTGACTTAGGAGAGCCAAATAAATTTTAACACGAGGTTTAGGTCACGCCAGCGTCACTACCGAAGCTTCACCTTGAATGTGCATCTGAATAATACTTATTTTTATAATCCTATGTTTATAATTTATTTAGGGTCATAATTCATTATAGAGAGGACACATTTAATTCCAAATTTAGTAAATTTAAAGTTAGTATTAGCTATTTATAAAACTAAGTTTTGTGTGTGCCTAAATAAAATAAATAAATTAAATGAACCCTCGCCTTGTTATTATCTTTTACGACCACAGCGTGTATACTTAAAACGTATACGTCCTTTGTTTATTTCTTAGTTATAATCTTGTTTGCAGTCTTTATATAACGTGGGTAAAAAACCAGAGTTTATTCTACCGTACTAAGGAAAATTAAATTATTATCATCGCATCCTTGAAACAACAATAGGTTGGGAAACAACGTGAACAAAAGTTGTTAAACTTGAAACTATTCAATAAATCCTCTACTATACTCGTTAAAGACTGTGTGCTGGATTAAATGAATTCTGAAGGTTTTATGTGATACCATCCTTGGAACGAATGATCCTTACAAATATTATTTAGA